AGGTCAGTTTTACAAAGCTGAAAACAATTATGAGCCAGATCAGCTGGGAGGAAGAATTCAATCAGAAAAATTTGAATGATAATTGGGATTTAAGAACACTTTTACGAGCTGCCCAAAAAGCCATAAACCTACAATCAAGTAAGAAGGCAGTATAGGCTGTGAGGATCATGCTGGCCCACTAGACGTGCAGCACAAAAAACACACTGTGTGTAAAGGCAAAAGCACTGTCTGAGCCTGATTCTGTACTGCTACAGCCAGCTTGGATGGCCATTTGCAGCTGGATAAGGGGATGCTGTTGCTGGTGTTTTACAGCAACTGTGCACAGCTGCAAATGGGATGAGATGGGGGTGGGGGGAATCAGACCCACTGGTTTTTGTCTTGACCTGATTTCCAGCTGGATGTGAAGGGCCCTTTGCCCTGTGATGCCCCGCCATACCACAGAGCATAGCCTTGTGAGAATTTGAAAACACTAGCTGAAAACACTAGCAACCCCCAGCCTGGAGGCAATGATCACATGCAGGAATAGTGAGCACACAGCTCCGCTCTGGAGAACCTGAGGGAAGATGGTCCCTGAAGAGAATTTTAAAATGAAGATAGGGAAACCTAGGGGGAAAATTCCCCCAGCCAGACTGCAGCCTGGACCTATCTCCTTAACCCAACCAGGCGAGATCTCCCAATAGCTAGGCCTGGAGCCTGTGAACGATGGCCTGGTTAATAGTAGCTGTTAATAGTTAATAGTTAATATTAACCTGGTTAATAGTTAATGTTAGATGCATTACAAGTTGGGTATAACTGGCACTAATTGAGGCAGAGGGTCCCTGGGCCATGCCAGCACAGCCCTTCACCTACATGAAACGCTCCCTCACCACCTGAGCTGATTGAAGACCCTGTTGTATTGAAGACCCCATTGTGAGGCCCTTACAAGGTTGGAACACTAGATGAAGGGTGACGGAACATCAGTGATGTCTCCATAATCCTGTGTTGCTACTTAGGGACGAGTGCTCTAGAATATAAAAGAGAATGGACACCTTTCTGTAGGTTTTTAATGAACCATCCCATAGAATTTAATAGAGAATTCTATCCTCCAGTGTTCGGGAAAAAAGGAGGTCATTTGATTTTAGATTTTTTTTAGAGTAATTTCTGAAGGATCCTCTTAATTTGCTGGGTGGTGTAAGCCCCAGTTGGCCAATTTAGGAGAGGCCACGATGGCTCTGATCCAAAGTCAATGGACAGACTTCCATCCACTTTACTGGGTTTTGGCTTAAGCTGTAGGTGCTGGAGCTCAGAACACAGTGATGCCCAATCCCTTTCCTACTCACTCTAATCACCTCACTTAATTGAACTGCCCAACTGTCTTTCCTAACTGCCATGAAACCTGCAGGGCCCCCACGTTCCACCTGACAACTTATCCTCCACTACCGTTGCCAGGTGTCTGGTTTTCGACCAGAACATCTGGTCAAAAAGGGAACCTGGCAGCATCCAGTCAGAAAAGTCCACTTGGCCACAGCAGACAGCAATGCCTGCCCTTTGGCTGGGGGGTGCACTGGGCCAGAGTACCCTTCCTTGGTGGGGGGCAGGAGGAACAATCGTGTATCCCCTGGGGTGGGAGATGCACCGATGGCTGGGGAGCGTGGAGCAATGCCAAGCACCCAGCATCTTGCTCCAGCTAACTTGGGCGGCGCTGCCCCTGGGGTGGGGGGAGGAGAGAGGAGCCCGCCATGGAGCACAGGACACAGCCCCAAAGAATGGGTCTTCACCCACGGCGCTGCAGGCGATGAGTAGTGGGGAGAGCACCCCTTGCAGGGCAGGGTCCCCCTGGGCAGAAGGTGCCCACTACTGGAGCCCCGGTGGCACCCAGGGCAATCCCCTCCCGCCCAGTCCCCAGGAAACAAAAGGGCCGGCACCTTCCCTAGCTCCACTGGGCAGAGCGCCTTCCCCGGCTTGCGAAGGGGAAGCCTCCACGCCCCGACCATGCTCCGCTCCCCAGCAACAGCACCTGGCAGGCGGGCGGGGCAAGAGAAAGCCCAGCGCCCCGAGCCTGGTCCCCCACAGAAGCACAGGGCAGGCAGAGGAAGCTACACTGCGGCCCTAGGACTGGAGGAGCTCTGGTGCCCTGCCATGGCCTCGGGGCTGGGGGAGCTCTACCCCCTGCGGCATCCCCTGGGCCCTGGCCGGAGTGGGGGGACAGAGGTCCTGGGCTGTGGGGGGGGGGCAGAATGGAACAGGGGCAGGGCCACGGGGGCAAGGAGCAGAACAGTGCGGGGCCTTGGGGAGGGCTGCAGGCGGAAGGTGTGGGGAGGAGGCCCCAAACTTGCTCTGGCCCAGGGTCCCACGAAACCTTAAACCGACCCCCACCATACCCCGATTACCCCAGCCCTAGCTCCTCGCTATGGAGACAATCCCTCCCTGCCCTGGCCCCTTGCTCAGGGGACTGACCCCCACTGTGACCTGATTGGGCAGGCAGCAGGCTCCGCCTCAGCTCCAGCAGGTGAGTCGCGGGAGACCGGAGAGTGAGCGACGGGGGGGAGGGGGCGATGGAGAGCGAGCAATGGAGGGAGGGGGAAGAGGAGTGAGCAGGGGGCGGGGCCTTGGGAGAAGGGGCGGGGCAGGGGTGTACGGTTTTCAGCTATTAGAAAGTTGGCAACCCTATTCCCCCCCCCACTGCCCCCCCCATCATCTCTACCACCAACTGCCACGGAACCTTCCGGGTCCCCACGTTCCACCTGGCAACTTACCTTCCCCCTAACCTCCCCCCCCATCATCACTACCACCAACTGCCACGGAACCTTCCGGGTCCCCACATTCCACCTGGCAACTTACCTTCCCCCTAACCTCCCCCCCCCATCATCACTACCACCAACTGCCACGGAAACTTCCGGGTCCCCACGTTCCACCTGGCAACTTACCTTCCCCCTAACCCCCCCCCATCATCACTACCACCAACTGCCACGGAACCTTCCGGGTCCCCACATTCCACCTGGCAACTTACCTTCCCCCTAACCCCCCCCCCCCATCATCACTACCACCAACTGCCACGGAAACTTCCGGGTCCCCACGTTCCACCTGGCAACTTACCTTCCCCCTAACCCCCCCCCCATCATCACTACCACCAACTGCCACGGAAACTTCCGGGTCCCCACGTTCCACCTGGCAACTTACCTTCCCCCTAACCCACTCCCCATCATCACTACCACCAACTGCCACGGAACCTTCCGGGTCCCCACATTCCACCTGGCAACTTACCTTCCCCCCTACCCCCCCATCATCACTACCACCAACTGTCACGGAAACTTCCGGGTCCCCACGTTCCACCTGGCAACTTACCTTCCCCCCTAACCCCCCACCCCATCATCACTACCACCAACTGCCACAGAACCTTCCGGGTCCCCACGTTCCACCTGGCAACTTACCTTCCCCCTACCCTCCCCATCATCACTACCACCAACTGCCACGGAAACTTCCGGGTCCCCACGTTCCACCTGGCAACTTACCTTCCCCCTACCCTCCCCATCATCACTACCACCAACTGCCACGGAAACTTCAGGGTCCCCATGTTCCACCTGGCAACTTACCTTCCCCCCCCCCCCCATCATCACTACCACCAACTGCCACGGAAACGTCAGGGCCCCCACATTCCACCTGATAGCTCAATTTCCTCCCCCTCAACGGCCACGGCACCATCAGGGCAAGAACATTGCCGGAGGCAGCTCACCATCTCTTTCTACAAGTGACTCTCCATGCTCAATTATCCAGCACCTGAGCAGATGAGAGAACATGCCGAAGAATTGTCATCCCCTGTTTGTCTATTCCTCCTTTCAGGTTTTGCACTTACCCTGCCCTCCCTAGTCACAGCTGGCCTTCCTGCTCTACAGAGGGCTATCTCTGTTCATATGGGTCTCTTTAGCTGCACACAGACACCACTGAATGCATGGAGACTTATGAACATAGAGGAGGTCTGACCTCCTTTAAAGCCCTCTTCCCCTGGGAACAAGTGGGACCTGATAATGTTGCTGTGTATTACCTGATAACTGCCACATTAACCCACCTCCCCGGATCCATGCTCCCTCTAGCTAACCTGTCAGACACAGAGCCCTGAAGAGGGACCCCCCTGTATGATGGGCAGTTTGTCTTCAAGCTTTAAATCCAGAAAAATGAGTTTCCAACAGGTATAAGACACAGATCTCCAACCCTTTCTCCAGCCATCTGTTTCCGACTCCCTTCCTAATCTCCGACTGCCTAATTCTCATGCCACTTGAAACAATCACTAAATTGCCTCCTGATAACGAACCCTGCAGAGAGAGCTGTTTTACCCTTCCTGAAAGAGGAGGAGGGGCGTGCTTGGTGATGAGTCACGGAGGAAAATTTACTGTAAAAAGTTTCAAACCCATGTTTCTACAGACATTACAGAAGCTACAGCAGCGCTTGGAAAAAACCCTTTCAGCGAGGGCTGGGTGAAAAATTTCCATGAACTGTTTTTTCAACAGAAAATTGGCTTTTCAACCAAATGAAATTGTTTGCAAAGAGTATTGGCTTTTTTGGATTTGCCCAAATGCCCCAAAACTGGAATATTTAAACTAAACGCTGAAGTAGTGTGAAATGCTGTCATGCCATGGTGCCTTGTGGGAGATATAATTCAGGTGTCTCAGACTCCTAGTCTCTAGAGCAGTGGTTCCCAAACTTGTTCCACCGCTTGTGCAGGGAAAGCCCCTGCCGGGCCGGGCCAGTTTGTTTACCTGCCGCGTCCGCAGGTTCAGCCGATCGTGGCTCCCAGTGGCCGCGGTTCGCTGCGCCAGGCCAATGGGAGCTGCTGGAAGCGGCGGCCAGTACGTCCCTTGGCACACACCACTTCCAACAGCTCCCATTGGCCTGGAGCAGCGAACCGCGGCCACTGGGAGCAGCGATCAGCCGAATCCTATGGACGCGGTCGGTAAACAAACCGGCCCGCCCGGCAGGGGCTTTCCCTGCACAAGCAGAGGAACAAGTTTGGGAACCATTGCTCTAGAGGCCAGGCTCCCCAGTCAGACTTCATCTCCCATGATTCATCTCCAACATGTGACTTCCAGGATGTGCTAACTACCCTCTCCAAGAAGGGAGACAGTGGTGTGTCATGGGAGATGCATTTCGCTATCAAAATGCCTTGGGTCTCAACAGAAATATTTTACCAAAACCTCAACATTTTCTGTGAAAAGCACCCTGACTTTTCCAACCAGCTCTACTTTCAGACTGGTTATCAAGGAGCTTGTAGTTCTGAACAAAGGAAATTAATCTGTATCCAATGCATTTAAATTAAACACAAGTCTGTGACGGTTCTTCTCCATTTTTGTTGGTTCTGTATATTTACGACACTCATCCAACATGGTTATGTTTGTCAAGGTATTCAATTGATCTATCTCGTAAGGCTGATCATAAATTAACAGAAACCACTCCAAGTGAATGTTTAGCTGATTAGCTAAATAATTTCATTTCATTTTTAAAAGATCCTTCTTGCCAAATAGACTTGTGCCAATGAAAACAATGAGGAGCCCAGTGGCACCTTAAAGACTAACAGATTTATTTGGGCATAAGCTTTCGTGGGTAAAACCCCCACTTCTTCAGATGCATGGAGTGAAAGTTACAGATGCAGACATAAATATACTGACACATGAAGAGAAGGGAGTTACCTTACAAGTGGAGAACCAGTGCCGACAGGGCCAATTCGATCAGGGTGGATGTGGTCCACTCCCAATAATTGATGAGAAGGTGTCAATACCAAGAGGATATTCCATGAATATGCTAAAGCTCTGAGGTCTCTCCAGGGTGCTGATTGTCTTAGTAAGTTTCACTGAAAAATTCATGGCTAAGTCTGGGACAAAATTGGAAGCAAACAGAATTCAAAGCATGCCGTCAATAAAGACGCACTGTCAGAAGTAGGAAATTGTAGACATTTCTTAGGAATGCTTCAGGGTGATAAAGACACTCACACAAAGGGCAGCATCACGGCAGTCACGTTCTGTGTACATATTGTTTTGATTCATTAATGTATCCCTCATTAGTGGGGCCGGGAAGATTAATGGCTATTTTCAATTTCTAATTTCTATGGTCTATTTCATACTGTACCTCTGTTCCATCTGGGCAATGTATCATTCTTTGGCTACCTCCACCGACATCAAGAAGGTATGCCCTGTATTTTGGTTAGATATTTTAAAGGGAGCTTTGAGAGAACGGCTCAATTGGTGTCTTTTTCCATCCCCAGTTTTTAAAGGAATTCAGCAACAAGGATCTTCCTTACTACAATTACCTCTGCTGCTGCACAAGACAAAGCTGTTAAACGTTTTCATACTCCAGAGGGAAAGACAGCAAGAAAAGAAGGAGGATCTTGTGGTTATGGTACTGTACTGGGGTTCAAAGTTGAATTCCCAGCTATGCAATAGACTCCCTGAGTCATCTTAGATAAGTCACTTGATTTTCCTGTACCTCAGTTTCCGCACTGGTAAAATGGGGGTAATAATATTTCTATAGCTCACTGGGGTATTGTAAGGATAAATTAATCCATGTTCTTAGACCGACCATCTTGCAGGGAAACAATGAGTTGGGCAATCAAGCACTCAACAACAGCTGAAGCAACAAAACCCAGGGCTGTAATTCTCAGAATCAGTGATTCCAAACCACTTCTCATACCCACAATGGGGTTGTTAATGTGTTTCTAATGACAGCAAGAGAACATAATGAAAATGGAACATGTGGCAACTTTGTGGGTAATGGAAAGTGTAAAATATCCCAAAACTGACCCATTGCAATTGGGGTGGAAGACGGTGACCCCTACACATCTCTCAAGTCAGTTTCAACCCTGCAGCTTTAAGACTCTTGTAGAGGGTGTATTGAAATTCTCACTGAATCTCTGTTCCATTGAGATGGAAGCACTTCTCCACCTAGTATTACCTGCACAAAGAGTTATTAATGTTCCTATCATCCTTACTGATTACAGTTCAGATCTAGATCTTGCTGAAGCCACCTGAAAAAACAACATGGATGAACTGTCCAATCAAATCACTCAGCACATGGTTGAACAGCATTCATAGAATTATAGACTTTAAGGTCAGAAGGGACCATTATGATCATCTAGTCTGACCTCCTGCACAACGCAGGCCACAGAATCTCACCCACCCACTCCTGTTACAAACCTCTAACTTATGTCTGAGCTATTGAAGTCCTCAAATCGTGGTTTAAAGACTGAGGTGCAGAGAATCCTCCAGCAAGTGACCTGCAGAGGAAGACGAAAAACCCCCAGGGCCTCTGCCAATCTGCCTGGAGGAAAATTCCTTCCTGACCCCAAATATTGCGATCAGCTAAACCCTGAGCACGTGGGCAAGACTCACCAGCCAGACACCCAGAAAAGAATTCTCTTTAGTAACTCAGATCCCACCTCATCTAACATCCCATCACAGGCCATTGGGCATATCTACCGCTAATAGTTGAAGATCGAGTAATTGCTATAATTAGGCTATCCCATCATATCATCCCTTCCATAAACTTATCAAGCTTAGTCTTGAAGCCAGATATGTCTTTTGCCTCCACTGCTTCCCTTGGAAGGCTGTTCCAGAACTTAACTCGTCTGATGGTTAGAAACCTTCGTCTAATTTCAAGTCTAAACTTCCTGATGGCCGGTTTATATCCATTTGTTCTTGCGTCCACATTGGTACTGAGCTTAAATAATTCTTCTCCCTCCATGGTATTTATCCCTCTGATATATTTATAGAGAGCAATCATATCTCCCCTCAGCCTTCTTTTGGTTAGGCTAAACAAAGTGAGTCTCCTTTCATAAGACAGGTTTTCCATTCCTCAGATCATCCTAGCAGCCCTTCTCTGTACCTGTTCCAGTTTGAATTCATCCTTCTTAAACATGGGAGACCAGACCTGCACACAATATTCCAGATGAGGTCTCACAGGTGCCTTGTATAATGGTACTAACACCTCCTTATCTCTACTGGAAATACCTCGCCTGATGCATCCCAAGACCACATTAGCTTTTTTCACGGCCATATCACATTGGCAGCTCATAGTCATCCTGTGATCAACCAATACTCCGAGGTCCTTCTCCTCCTCTGTTACTTCCAAGTGATGCATACCCAGTTTATAACAAAAATTCTTGTTATTAATCCCTAAATGTATGACCTTGGACTTTTCACTATTAAATTTCATCCTATTACTACTACTCCAGTTTACATTCCTGACCCCATTTGCCATTCCTGATTCCCCCACCCTCCTGTCCACAATCTTAAATATGGAGCAGGCCACATCTGGACCTGACTTGTCCTACTGCCTGGACCTGACTGTCCTATTTCCTGCTGCCTCCTTTAATGAACAGAAATTTAAAAATCCAGAACATTGTTTTGCAAAAAATTCCACATTTTTGTAAATCAGCATTCCAAAAATACGAAAATTCCCACCAGCTCTAATTAACAAAGACCATGTAAACTCTTGCATTCTTGTCTTTATGAACTCACGTTTCCTATTTAATCCTCTCTTGGAAAGCCTAGCCATAGGTCCAAAGTTAGGGATTTTTAATGACCCAAAGGAAAAATAGGTTGTTTTGGAAAAAATTTCTCCCGTGTAAAGTGCAACAAAGGGTTCATCTAGTAAGCTATTTCATCCCTGGGTTACAGGCATCGTTGCTATCAATGGATCAGTCTTTGCATATCCCCACTGAAACAGAAGAGTTACTGAATCAGACGAGTTTTTGGAATGTCTCTATTGCACAAACACTGAGAATTGTATAGTGATCAAAGGTTTAGGAATACGCTATATAACTGGAACAAGCAGCATTATTAATAGTCACCTCAAATACTATTTCCAAGAGTTATAACAGTAAAGACAATTCACACATAAATTACACAGAGCATTCGTGGGTATCAAGACACTGTGGGTGGTCTCTAAAGGGCTCTTTCCTGATTTCACAAAGCATCTCTAGCGCCAGCATGTTGGTTAAAAACAAACCCACCATCTGAATCTATGATTGTATTTCTTTCAGCTCTTGTCGTTTCAAGTAACTTCCTATTTCAAATGCATGGATGGCTACTGGTTTAACAATAATAATGACAAGCTTAAAATACGTGCAGGCAACTGTGGCCCAGACCCTGAGCTGAAGTAAATCAAATTTACATCAGCTGAGTATTTGGCCCCGGTAATTTCATGAAAAAGGGGGAAATGGTCTGATTAGGGACTTTGACACAATTCGTGGGCTATTCCACTTCCAGTGTTTTAGAAAACTCCCTTTGAATTCAACGAGAATTTTGTGAACAAAATGAGGCTGGCATGTTGCCCATTTCATATAAAAGGCAGAGCAATCTTGGGGGAACCTTTTCAAAAGCAGGGCTCAATACTGCCTTACAAGTGCACTTGGGATTCCCACTGGGATCAATACAAGAGTCATCCATGGATCTAGGACAATAATAATAATACTTTGCCTTCCTCTTGTGCCTTTCACCTGAGGATCTCAAAGTGCTTTACAAATATTCACTAAGCTCGGTGCCTTAAGAGGTAAGCATTATTAGCCCCATTTTACAGATGGGGAAACTGAGGCACAGAAGGATTTAATTATTTGAACCCAGTTGTCCTGCTTTAAAAACAAGACCATGCTCTTTCTTCTCTCTGCATGGGCTAAACTGGCCTCTGTATTTGCAATTTATGGGCCAAATTCTCCTCCCAATTCCACAAGTACACCATCCCTGGAAATCCACCAGATTAATTGAGAGGGGAATTTAGAAGTACATCTGTCAAAGAAAAATATTACAATGGATTTGGTGTGGCTCTCAGGGGCAAGGAGAAAACGATCAGACATATCACTGGCATCTCCCCCTGCTGATAGTACTTTTGCACTAAAAATATTTACATTTCCATCTGCTGGAAAAGAAAAAATGTGGCAGCCATTGTACCACACTGTTAGTTATCCGTTTTCGCCCTTTGTTCTAAATTCTGCTCTTAGTTCCAGACTTGGGACCGAGTTTTCAAAGATGCCTCATCCCAAATTGCGGACTCAGTTTGCCACTTTGAGGGGTTAGTGCATGTCCAAAAACCAGGAGAGAGCACAAAATTGTACCTGCAGTTTTTGAGGGTCATGTTGAGGCCTCTTTGAAAACCTGCCTCTTAGATTCTCTTCCTTCAAAACAAATGTCGCATTTCTTTGGCCCAAATGAACAGGTTATTTTTTTGAGCCACTCAGCTGAGAACCTGGGAGAACTTCAGCTTCACCCCCAATATCATCAGTTCACTGGCTTCTCATCTGTTGGGCCGCAGTCTCCTCTCTAACCCCGTTTCTCCAATGCGGCTGGAGGAGAATGTGGCTCACTGTAGAGCTATAAACACTGACAACTGGGAGGCAAAACTGGCACCAGCAGGCAAGACATCAGACCCAGGATTCCTCATCTTCTTCTGTGAGCCACACTTTGGTATCTGCTAGGACTGTCTTCTTCCCAGATTGTGGGGAGCCACTGTGTTCTGAAAGCCAAGCCTCTTCCTCGGACCCAGCATTTCCTGTGCTGTTCTGCCTTGTACTATCCAGGCTGTCCTGAGTTGGCCAGATCTGATGCTTTAAGCTATGGGCCTTCTCTTGGGCTTTGGCACTGGCCACTTTCTGTGCCTGTCGGTAGGTCACTGGAGTGGGGATTTTGGATGGCCGTTTCTCAGGTCTGTTGTCCCTGCGTGGGCGGATTTTGGGGCGTAGCTTTAGCTTGTAGATGGATGGCACCCGTTCGGGCTTCTTCAGGGACCTTTTGGGCTTACCTTGAGGCAGTTTGGACTTTTCAAGGCCGCCCACAGAGGCTGGAGAATTGATAGATGCCTTGGGGCCATCAAAGGCTGCCTGAGGAGCTTTGCTATTTCTACTGACTGCAGCAGACCCTGCATGGCTTGTGTGAGGCGGCTGCCTCCTTGACCGCTTGCCTTTGGTTTCATTGAACACGTTCTCCTGGAACAAAGCCCCTTCTGGCTCCAGAAGCTTCTTTTCCACCTGGTTTCCATTCACCAGAGGCGAACTTGGCTGAGAGGAAACCCTCACAGCCCCCTTGGGTGGGATCTTGGCGATCCAGTTCTCCACATCCACTGGGTGGAGTGGCTTGTGCCCCTGGGAGAGTTCGTCCATCACATCACCATAGCGGAATCCAGCCGGGTGCCATTTTGCCTCTCCGCTGGGCACATAGACACCACTCCGGGGCACACCCTTGCCACAGGGCAAGGTCTGCCTGGCGCTTGTAAAGGAAGACAGGGAGGGCGTGGAGGACCTGAGCCCACTTACATCACTGGCTGTGGTGACGCTCGCTAGGCTGCAGTCCAGGGCAAAGTCGCCCAGCTGGTTCCCTTCAGGGTGGTGGCTTTCATCCGAATCAGCCTCTAGAATCTTTATGTTGGATAAGATCTCATCTTCTAGGCTCCTGTACAGCGCCTGTTCCTGGGCCAGGTTGATGGGCAAAGGCGTATACACACGTTCCCTCTCCTCTGAGCAGCCTATTGGATCGCCACCACTCCTGCTGCTGCTGTTATTGGTGTTCCCTGGCTCTACCTCCTGCCCCAGTTTGGCCTTTGGATCCTTGTCCTTCCCTGCTGGATCTGACAGGCCGAGTCTATCTTCTGGACTAGTGGGAAGGTTGGTCAACAATGTCTCTGGCTTGACTGCCCCACTGCATTGTCTGTGCCCCTGAGAGCCTTCCTCAGTCCTGGACATGACTTTGATCTTTGAGAGAGCTGGGGCTTTTGCCATTTCACTGGCAGGGGCTTTCCACCCGTTTCGGAGGCGGGGCTCCCCCTGGTGGCTCTGAACAGGGGTTGGGGGCCTGCTGAATGTGGGGCCGGCTTTGACTGGGATCTTAGTGCTTCTTTCCTGTTTTGGAGTCTGGCCCATGTGTTTAACTGGGGAGGATGGCAACACAACCCCAGCATCCCCCCAGCCGTGTGCACCGTTGAGGCTCTGTGCAGCTCCCTTGGAATCCTGTTGTGAGGAGAGATGAAGAGGTTTCATTGGGCTGCAGGAACGGACCATCCCAGGAAAGCTCTTGACCCCTGATTCCTGAGGCTTGTGAGCCTGTGGAAAGGGTTTGACTCCATACTGGGTGCTCCTTGACGGCTGAGCTGTTCTGTCTTTTGGCACTGTCATCTGGGGCCTGGACTCTGTACACCTGGCTTGCACAAGCCTAGCTGGGGCCTTCTGATTCTTCCCAGGGATTCTACTAGTCTGACGCCCTCTCTGGGGCTCTAGGAGAGCTTCCGAGGCGCCAGAACCATCCTCCTCGCTTCCAGTCAGTTGTGAGGTCAGGGAGGACGTAGAAACACACAGCTTATCCCTCCGGCTCTGGGTGGAGGAGGTCTGCTGGGTCGCAGATCTTTCTTCAGCAAACTGCTGCCTCCGTGAAGGAGTAGCAGACCGCTCGGTTGCCCTATAACAGAGACAAAGCATCAGATTGATGTGTCAGTCGCCTCTAGCCCTAGGGAGGCGGGTACCTGCGTTGCTCTGGGCATGAAGCTGGTTCTGTGCTGACAAGCAGTGGGAGGGGGTATACATCCCTCGTTAGGGGCTGTAATCATTGGTCTTGTGATGCACTCACAAGCTGGCACAAAGTCCAGTGCAGGCCACCACCTCTGGGAGGTGGTGACAAGCTCAAATTCAGCAAGACAGGGCCCCATAGTGTCATCAACTCCACTAAAAACCACAGGCATGGGTTACATTTTGTGATACATTACAATAGTTACATTTTGGCGCTGCTGAGAGCGAGGGGCTGAGCGCGCTGCCTGAAGTCAGAGTTAGCACGGGCAGACGCCCCAGTACAGCTCTGCCAGCGTGTCTCTACCCTGACATACCACCCACCCAATCAACGCAGGGACATCACACAGATTGCCAATAACCTACCTGCACCTGGAAACAGCTCTACCTCTTCTCGTTCCAGGCCTTGTCCTACAGCTCTGCCAGTGCCCCTCAAGCCTGACCTACAGTCCCCCCCCTTGTTCCAGTCCTGGACCCTAACACACACAAGCACTGCCAATGACCCTCAGTCCAGTCCTGGGGCCTCACTTGAGCAGAAACCCTATAGCGGCTAAGTGACTCCCTCCAGCTGATCCCAAGATGACCCTGATGGGCACTGAAGAAGACCATGGCCAACTATGCTCAAGCTTGAAACAGGTCCTTTGAGGTGGGAACGAAACAGGAACAACGGGGGCACTGGGAGTCCTGGAAGGCACCACAAAGGAAGCCTGGCTAGCAGTAAAATGTACCGTTCACTGCGTAATTCTCCAGCTTTGTCCAATGCCAGCCGCTCTTCAGTGTCAAAAAGAAAAGGAGGACTTGTGGCACCTTAGAGACTAACCAATTTATTTGAGCATAAGCTTTCGTGAGCTACAGCTCACTTCATCGGATGTTACTCTGAAACTCTTCAGTGTCAGTGACTATACCGACTGCTCAGCACAGCATCCATGGGAGTCATCCGGGAAACCAAGCCCAAGGCCTTTCGCAAACTTCTTTTCATTACCTGGCCGAAGGGACCCTCCTGGGTTCTGACTGCTCCCGCAGGGGCCTGAGCCTGGAATCCTTCTTGCTGGTGCTATCTGGCGATGGAGATGAACGAAGCTTCCGGCTGGTGCTGAGGCTCTGGGGGGTGTAGGTCCTCCACTCCACTGGGGGCAGGGGGCTTTGGGACCTGCTCACGATTAGGGTGGGCTGGGGCTTCTTTGGGTTGTCTGTCCTGGGTGTCGGGCAGACCTTGATCTCATGCTGCACCTGTATTGCCTGCAGCCTTTGAGGGCTTGTCAGCTTGACAGCCTGCTTGTGAGCTGTGAAGAGATTCAGGGACTCAGTATCTCTGGTCACCACGCTCCGGTGGATTAACCTTGTGGGGTGACTGTACTGGTGTGCCAGACCTAAGCAGTGCCGGATAGTACCAACCACTTCCGATTCAACTGTGCACGTTCTAACTCGCCATGGAGCCTGGGGTAGACCAGAATTTACACCAGCCCACTCCAAGCCTCATGGTGAAAATCCCTTGTGAATACTCATGATGGATTGGAAAGTTGGCCCTGTGGCACACCTAGGAATTTCACATGGGTCTTTAACTTCTAGGAATAATTTACTCAGCTGGAATAAAGCAAGATCTCGTTGTCTTACGACATTTCTATCGTCCAGATGCTGAAATGCAGTGAGCAGATCTCACATTATTCTGCCACCGTAATTGGCTCCCTGAGGCATTTTAAACCTTGTGAAATATACAAAAAAAAACAACAAAACCCTAAATACAATAGTCCCAAAGGGCAATTCCTACACACACTCCTAGGCAGGACTGGGGTGTTGCAGGTCTCTCTCCCTTCTGAAGTGCTAACCTGACCTCTAGTGGCACTATGGGAGACAAACGGCTTCCCTGGGGCCTTCTCCATGCTGTAAGGAGGCACCTGCCTCTTGCTACAAGAACCCAGAAAGAAATGACCCCTACCAAAAAGTTCCTGTGACCCTGTCAGAGATTTATAAAGGCTGAGCTGCTTTCCACCCAGCACCGTAGCCATGGGCGAGCCTAGGGAATTGTTCAGATCGGATGTGCTTCTCCAGTCTGTCTATGCTTCTTTGCTGTTCTTCGCTGTGACCCACACAGTCTTCTACTACTGAGGACCTGATGACAGCGAAGGGGACACACCCACCAGATTCTAACCTCATCCAAGGAGAAGAGTCACCCCCCCTGCAGACCTCCCCAAGGCTGCACTCATCGAATCTGCCAACTGAAGCAGCACAAGGAGACTTACACAGCGAGGTGCACCGGCAGGGGTCATGCTTATCCAGATAATGCTCCAGTGTGTCCCAGCCACCTCCAACCCGCACCATCACATGATTCCGGAGGATCTGGAACAAACAGAGCACCCATGAACGGGGGCTCACCTGGGCCTGCAGCGTCCTGAGCTTAGAAATGAGTGAAAGCTCAACAGATGGATATCGCCATCCTGTTGGTTTTTTTCCAGGGAGGTGTATACAGTATTTCACAGGCACATGACTGGGGATGCACACAGGGTTACATGCACACGTATATGTGATGCGCATAATAATAATTCCAGGTGCCATAGCATATTGTGGTTTTCATGGCCATAGGTGGGGAGAGAACCCAGGACCTTTGGCTTCCAAAACAGCCTCTACCCCTTGAATTAAAGGAGAACCTCATACTCTCTGTGGGCCAGCTACTAGATAACATCCTCAAACAGATGTGCAGCCAGGTTTTCCAAAGAGATCAGGGCCAGATTTTGCTGCGCTTGGCGCCCCAGATTTTCCAAAGAGCTCAGCACCTGCCGTGTTAATACAGCACAGCCAGTGCGTATTCAATGTGCTGAGCCCTTCTGGAAATCCCAACGCTACGGACTGACCCTGATCGGCGCAGAATATCCTAGTCTTCCACTGACTTCATTGCTCAGCCCATCTCAGGAGCAGGCGTTTAGCTTGTACACTACAATACACGCATGCAAACACATGCACGCATTTGGTTTACATGCCTGCCTATGCATGCATACCTAGCCATGCATATGGTTACATAGGTGTGTGCACACATGAATAACCGCTCTTACCCAGGTACATGTGGACAATGTGTAAAAAAACCATGTAGTCCAAAGAGAATTTGAATACACTCAGATGAACCGGCAGGGGTGGAGGACCTGCAGCCAGGAGCGCAGTTGCCTATGATTCCTGCCACGGAAAATATGCAGGTTCTCACACACAACACAATACAGAGCTTGCTACCACCATGTCTTACTCCAGCAGGATGCCTCGGGGACCTAGTGATTATTCAGTTAATTGAGAGATGTACATGCAGGTCAGACCATGATGGCATCTCTGACGGCAGGAGAGGGGTTTGAGGGTTAATCTGGGTGGCCACCCCTACAAAGAGAAGAAAATCTGAGGGTCCTCTCCAGGCAACCATAACCTGCAGGGCACATGGCTTTCACTGCAATCACTGAAAAGGCTATCACCCAGGAAAGTTAATGAAGGGGCCTAGAGACCTGAAAGAAACCAACTGGAGAGAATACAGAGGAGGTTGGAGAGAGGGAGGGACGACCCTACCCATGTTTCCCCCCACAGTGAATGCCCTGCTGGTGAAAGGCACCAGACTGACAGCTCTGGAGGCTGGAGCCCCGTACTCATCCACTGGACAGCTGGTATGGCCCTGGCAGCACCAAGGGGAGCTTCCCTCCTGCAGCCCCATTCATTTCTCACCCAGAGAGAGCACTTCTAGGGAGAAAGGGGAACGCACGCTCCATGGCCCAGTCAGTCCAACCAATGGGCCGGCTGGGGTGGAGGGGTTTTGAGACATGGTCCCCTGTCCCACTAGGAAGTGGAGTGACTCATTTCACCAAGTGACATCAGAGGGCTTCCGTGTTGGGTCCCCACTGAGCTGTCCCATCCTACTTAAGGTGAAGACATGCAGATCCCATCACTAATCCTCACTGCCATTCAGCCTGAATGTGTTTTGCTCTGTGCTAACGCAGCATAGTATGAAAATCTCTGCCTTGCGAATGGTCACGATGCTCGGTTACTCTGACTCTGGCCGCCTCGCTTGCCATATCGACACATGCCATCTTCTGGAGTGGGACCAGGCACAACGAGAGGTGAAGAGCCCATGTTTGGTGAATCCCGCCCCCAGGACACAGCATCCCAGCCCCAGATGGGAGCAGCAGTGTAGGTGCCCTTCCAACCCCTAGCCTAGATGAGACGGTCCCGGTAACACACAGACCAATATAACAGCACCTGGAAAGCGCACCCTCCTGGACTTACCCTGACAAAAATAAGGGTGTTGGAATCGCCCACGCGGTATTTTCCTTCAGACACCTTGATCATGGAGAACTGGACTGGGCACGTGCAGCGGCTCACCAGGTGTTGGACCTGTGGAGTCCATTCACGGTCAATAGGAGGAAAGTGCTGCTCCCTGAACACCCTGGATAACATTATAGCTTGGGGAGGGGGGTGCCAGGCTCCTTAGGCCCATTCTCTTCCAGACAGACCGGGGTGCCAGGGCTTATCCAAATCTCATCAAAGCCACTCGATCCTGTAAAAACAGACTGGAAATCCCACACGAAAAGATTTCTGCGGCTGCCTTCTTGTGCTTGGGCCCTGAAAACCAGGCTTCTGGCTCGGGCTATATTTGGAAACTGGGAGCACAGAAGCCATCACAAAAATAAAAATACCCAACAGGGGTTGGGGAGGAAATTAGCTGAACATTCTTGAACCTCTAACGAGATCCAGGTCAGGATCACGTAGCGCTCAATGTGAAGATCCAGGAAATTTAAGCCATGCTAATTTGGACCTTCGGATTTCTAACTGGGGCCAGCTAACGATTGAAGAAATCGGTTCCCTTTGCACTATTTCGTTCAGTAATTTGACTCTTATTATCTTCTAACCCCAGTTAGTGCCACTAACCACTGGAGGGTCTGGCCTGCTGGAAACAGAAGCGCAGAACTCCTGCTAACTCTACTGGGTTTTAAATACCCATGAGCCAAGAATAAGAATCTCTCACATTCAGGTAGCACCTTCCTCCCTGAAAGGTCCCAAAGTAGATTGCATATAACAGAGAACCTCCCTCTACATTGAGACAGGCCCCCAGTCAGGTTCTCCTGAAGTTCACGCCTGGACAGAACAATGAGTATCAGGGAACTCAGACCCCCAGTGGCTTACAGTTCCCCACCCCTTTACCATCTGGTCCAGGTTCTTGAAGTCACAAGGCTTCCTCTGGGGCTTGGGAAGTGGGGTATCCTCAGGGGGGAGGTCCATCTCCTCTCGGATCTCCTCCTCAATCTCCTCCTCCATTTGGATCAGGGTGGGAGCACTCATCCCGAAGCGAGAGGCCCGGCGGGACACCTCCAGCAGGCACAGCACAAAGTTTTTCTCATTCTTCCTCAGCACCAGGTCCTCCGTCTCAAACATCAGCACCTCTGAGGCACAGCAAATGAGCGAAACGTGGGAAGAAGGAGAGGAAGGATGGAGAGAAGGAATGAGAGACAAGGGCAGAGCCAGTGAGAGCAGCAGCGCTGATGTGTCTGGGGTGGTGAATTGTCCCACGGATGCAGCATGTACGCTATGATGGCATTTAATCGCGTGGCCGCAGATCTCTGCAACAGAGACTGTCTGATGTAGGAAGAGCTAAGCAAGGCCTGGTGTGGTGAGACAATATGAGTGAGAGCCAGCCTGACCTATTACCATTCTGCAGGGAGCCAACTGTGAAGACATGGGTGAAGATGTACCCTCTGTGTTTAACCTCTTCAGGCCTAAGGGGGTACAGTAAGTGGTGGGACACATATTGGATATGTCCTGCCCTGATAGGCCAAGTAAAGGGGTACTTGCATGGAAAATCCTTGATATACCAAGCAAATGTGTAGGTACATACAAGGTGTCAGTATCCTTGCATGAACATACATCAGGGATTCCTTAGGTATAAATATGGGGTATCCTGCTCATGAGATGCCAGGCAAGTGGGCATTCAGACCCACCTTACAGTGGGAGAGTGAAGGGGCTCATTCTGCTTAGTGTATCAAAAGGAAGACCTAGAGGTGACTTGATCACAGTGTATAGGTACCTTTGTGGGGAGACAATACTGGCTCTTTAATTACATCTAAGGGAGAAAAGTAGAATAAAAGCCAATGGCTGGTAGTTAGAGTCAGACAAATTCAAGTTAGAAACAAAGCACAATTTTTAATAGGGAGGGTGATTAACCGTAGGAGCTAGCTCCCAAGGGAAGGGGTGGATTCTCAATCTCTTGACATCTCCAAATAAGGCCTTTCTGGAAGAGATGCTTGAGGCAAACACAAATCACTGGGCTCAACACAGGAGTAACTGGGGGAAGCTCTCTGGCCTGGGTTATACAGGAGGTCAGACTAGGTGAACTAATGGTCCCTACTGGTCTTAAACTCTCTGGATCTATGAATCACGAGCATGCCCAGTGCTTTTCTGGAAGTGGATGCTAATGTCTTGATAAAGTGAGGCCGTGAGCACAGACATTGCTTTGGCTGGGGAAGGGTTAAACAGAATCTGGGCTCCCCCCTGGCTCCAGCTGTTCAAGGAGCTGAGGAGCAGAGGCTGGGTTCTGCGTGAGAGAACCAAGGCCTGGATTAGCCCTTCCGCAGCCAGCTGCCAGCTTTGACCAAGGAACTAAAACAACCACGTGGCCACAACCTCAGCCAGTCAACGAGGCAGAGATTCACACGCTGTTAGCGCACACCCCCCTCCCCGACCCTAGCTGCCAGCGCGGCACTGAACCCCAATCGGAGGGGAAATACGGAAATGCGTTAAGGCAGTGCTGCGTTAACGACATTCGCAGCTGCTGTTGCACGGGGCTTTAGCACAGGCTGCCAAAGATTCGGGTGTCTTTTGGAAAGAAGATATTCAAGGGGCAATGCAAATCAATCCAATCTACTAGCTACCTCCGACACATAGCGCTCTTATGTCCCTTTGCCAACTCCTGTCCCTACTGCAGTTTGTTGTTATTGTAGGGTTGACAGTGCTAACTTGAAATCAGATTTGCAATTCCTTTTTTAGGGGGCGGGGAAAGTGTTCTGACTCCCAATGCCTTGTTCTTATTGTTATTCATTATTCGTATTGTGGTAGCACCTGGAGGCCCCAACTGAGAGCGGGGCCCCTTTGCACTGGGCGCTGCTTGTACACACAGTGAGAGACTAGCCCTGCCCCAAGGAGCTGACAAGCGAAATACACAAGACACACAAGAAGGTGGGAGAAACAAAGGATATTGGCCCCCTTTGCAGATGGGGAAGTGAAGCCCAAAGGGATGAACTGAATTGCCCGAGCTCACATGGCTACTCAGTGGCAGAGTCAGGAACAGAATCTAGGCCAGTGCCTTAGGACACGATACTAGACATCATGCCCTTCCTTAAGATGCTTCATCTCGGCGCTCAATCCCCAGACACCATCTCAGTTTGGGCTAAGTTTAATGAGAAGGGAGGGAAAATGCACTTGTGATCAAGGCTCTGGATGGGATCAGGACACTTGGGGCCTCCCTAACTGGGCCACTTTGTGACCTTGAGCTAGCGGCTTCTCTCCAGTTTCTCCTGTCTATAAATGGAGGATAAAGATGGAGGTGGCGGGGCTAACTGAATGTTTGCAAAGTGCTTTGAGATCCTCAGAGAGAAGGTGCTAAGAAAGAGCGAAGTATATTAGTTTGTCAGCTTTTTGGGGGGCAGGGGCCATCTTTTTGTTCTGTGTTTGTACAGCATCTAGCATCTAGGGTCTGGTCCATGACTGTTGCTCCTCCAGGCTACCATAATACACCTAATAAATAATGTACAGCGCCCAGCACAATGGGGTCCTGGTGCATGACTGTGGTCCTAGGCACCAAAGCAAGACAAATAAATAATGAGAAGAAAAAGAATTGCCATGGGGTGAGGGGGCAGAAAAAGGTGTTAGAAATAAACAGAAAAGAAAATAATGGAAAGAAACTGGAGGAAAAGATCAGAATCCCCTTTACCTTTAATATCCATCTCCTTCCTGCACCACTGGATGAAGTTAGACACGTTATCCCTGGCCTGGAAGGTCCCTGGCTGGGCAGAGTCATTACAGGTCACCCCGTATCTGGGCAGCTGGAGCTTGTGGGCCAGGCCCGGATAGTCGCGGGAGAACTCTCTGGCCACATGGGTGATGTTGTTGGCATGGAAGCACAGCATGGAGCCCGTCTCCAGCACCTCCAGGAGGGACCCAACGTTGACGTCCAAGTCATAGAGTTCCTTGAGCCACTCGGCCAGGTCCTCCTTCATGGCGTAGAGATACTGCTCACTGGACTTGTAGGGCCGGATGCTCTGCACCGTGGCGCCCTGAATCCCAGCCATCTTGCCATGAGACACGGGGCTAAAGGGAGACAGAGAAGGGACATCAAAGACTTCCATGTGGGACATTGAACCATCAACCCCTTGGTTTGGTTCCAGACTTACCCAGGTATGGTGAGTTTCCACCTCTCTGCCCCCAGAGTGGGTTCTCATGGGCCTGTCCCTGGACCCCCCATCGCCATGACTTGCCAAACTGCAGATCTAGGCTGAAAAAGTTGCAAAATTTCTCCCCTCCTGAGGAGCGGCAAGTTCACTGGTGGCACAGCTCACTTGGTCCCCTAGTCGTGGGTAAGATCCCCTAGCCATCACAATTGCATTCCTGCAGGGAGAGCAAGTTCCTCCATCCACCCCACACGCCGCTGCTCGGCTCCTCCGAGCCCTCCACTGGAAGGTGCTGTCCTCATGCCTCATTCCTGCGCCCACGGCCCAGAGCCCTTGCTACCCCATCCCCCTGGAGGAACCTGCCTGCAGCCGTGCCCCATTGCGAGGGGACACACTTTCCTAGGCTGGGAACTGACCTTTCCCCCGGAAGGCTCTCCCTCTTTCTTCGACAAGGAGCTGGGGCGTTTCTCCTTCACCCAGAGCTCCTGCTGCCTGCCCTTCACCCCCTTGGGAATGTCAGAAGCCTGTCTCCTTCCCCCGAGCAGTTGCTTGGAGCTGGAGTCGATTTAAACGGGAAATCACCCCTCCTGGACAGCCCAGTGTTTTGTTTCCTTCCCCAAGTGCTGTTCTCTTCTCCTTGGTGACACAGGCTTGCTACAAACACTCCCCGTTAACCCCTTAGGCTCCTGCTTTCCCAACCAATGGGCCTCACTCCTTTTTTTTTTTTTTTTAAAGCAACAATCGTCCCAAACCAGGAGATTTTAAAACAACTCTGAACTCCCCAAAAGTTTGGGAGCATTTGGGTCTGGAGCATTGGTTTGGGGGCGGTTGTTTAGAAATATCATATGACTCTACGGCATGTTTCCTCCGAGGATCTCAAAACACTTTACAACCATTAATGAATTGATCCTCAGTTCCTCCTCCCCCACGGCCCTCTCTGTGCAGTACTGTAGGTCTGTCCCATTTTACAGATTGGCAAACTGCGGCACTGTGACGGGGAAGCGGCTTGGTCAAGGTCCTACAGTGAGTCAGTGACAGACCCCTCAGGAGTCCCAGTCTCCTGCTCAAAATGCTAAACACACCAGGCCAAATCCCACTCCACCCACGCAGCCCTGCTGAAGTTAGTCAAAGCGGATAGCCACAACTGAGGTTAAAATTTGGCCCTCTGCCTCAATTGAAAACCAGAGTGCCAGATCGTCAGCTGGGGTGTAACTCAAAACACCTGCACTGGAGTCAATAGAGCTGTGTCCATTCACACCAGCTGAGGATCTGGCCCTTTTAAAGCCAGGCACTGCAGGGCCCGGGCTCATCCGGCCTGTGTAACAGTCGATGGTATCACACGCCAACTGGAGCTTGGGCGCGATCAGGAGGGCGACCACATTTTGGTGTCGGTTTTCCAGGACAGAACAATCACACCACGGTGCCACGCCATGTGGGCACAGCACCTGCATCACAGCCCCACAGGGTCGCCTCCGCCCATCGGGAGCTGATGGGGCATCTCCCGATGAAGAAACCGATCTCTGGGCCCAGAGTGAGGCCGCGCTGTCAGCGTGGCCATGTCACCACGTCTTGCCACACCTAATGCCTCCACACGTAGCAGCCCAAGTCATTCGCTGCACCAGCCTGGTCCCTGCACCCATGATCTCCTAAGCGCCTGGATGAAACCGGGCACCTCTCTGGAGGTTTACATGGATGGCTGCTGGGCAGCAACAAAACACGTGGGGCCAGCGCTACCCCACCCTCCTGTGGAGCTCGTGGGTCAGTGAACGTTCAGAGAGAAGAGCCGAGGAGAAGATGCTGATATACTGATGAGGCCTTTCCCCGTAAACGAACCACATTTCCCTGACTGGAGCCCGAAGAAAGATGTGGTCACATTACAAGGGGGGTCACAGATCCAGAGGAGGGGTGAGGAGGCTGCTATAGGGTGTGGTTAGAGATTATATCAAGGAGAGGTTCTTCAGTGGGAGCTATGGGAGGTAGAACAGACCCCAGCAAGGGCAAAGAGAGCTGGGAGTATGCATGAGTGGATGGACAGATATTCTTGGCCTACTGCTCCCACTGAAATCCACTCTCGATGGTTTCAAAAGAAAACGGGGCCTTTAGGGTTAGACCTGCTGCAAAGCTGGGCCCTCATGCCCAATGACACAGCCTGGGGTGACCCACCAGGTCACTCCCTTCCACTGGCCTGTGTGTAGAACCTGCCTGGAGAACCCCCAAGGTGTCACAATGAGCCGCGGGCCAGCAGCTGGTGGCTAGGGAGCTGAGAGTGGCTTTGCAGTGAGTGGCAGTGAGGCCTCAGCAGGTGAGACGCAGCTAAGAGGCTTTCTCCTGAAAGCCCTTGAAATGTAATCTCCAGGAGGAATTTAAAATGTGATATTGAATCCTGCCTCAGCATGGTGGGCTAGACTAGGTGACCTCTCGAGGTCCCTTCTCCCCCTCCATCACCCTGGTGTAATATGACAAGGGCCCAGACAAGGAGGGCAGGCAAGTCTTTCTCTACCTTGTTTAAAACCCAGCAACAGACTCTGTCTAATCTCCTAACCCTGCCCAATATTGGGACAAAAGATTTTATATTCCCCTGGGAGTGGATTACCTTAGCAAGGACTCCACGGGCCGCTTGATGCCAGAGAGATCAGAGGGACAGACCCAGCAGAAGCATGGGCTGCCTCGGCTCCAGCCATGATGGATTTCATAGGAACTCAGGACTGAAAGGCACCTCCTGGATCACTGCGGCTGATCCCCTGAAAGCCTCATACAATCCCACGCTCCGTTCCTCTTGGACCTGCCCACTGGCAGTGATGGCAGTATGCAGGGCGCTCCATTGCGCTGTCCCCAGGCTCAGCGGTGGTTCCAGCAGGAGTTTGGTTTCAAACACTGAACTGTACTGGGCTTTGTCTGGGGCGTCTCATAGTTACTGGCTCTCTAGCTGCATTGACACAAGGCAAATGCTGCAAGAAATGATTTTGCACCATTCCGGCATTCAGTGCTCCCTCTGGGAGTGTGGCATTGCCATGTGCTTGGAGAGAAGGGCGAATTCCTGTGGTCCCCTTTCCCATCCCCTGCTGGAAGGAAGGGGGCGACTCCAGGCCCTGGTTTGATCACTCATTGCTCCCTGCGTTGATTGGCTATCTCCAGGCAGTGCTCCTGGGATTGGCATGCCACTCACTCGCAAGGGGGGGCGGAGCCCTGATAAGACCCACCAAGTCCAGACCCACACGGCTCGAGCGGCAGAGGTGGAGTGTGGCTGGATTTTGGTGGCACGCACGTATGTGTTAATGTGATTTGTTGCATCCTCCCTGGTGCTGGGCAATACCATGTAACATTATGCAAAGACCATTCAGCCAGTGACAAACTCCTCCAACGTGGTAGCTTTCTTAGTTTGTTCAGTGGCTTAGAGTGCATTGCAAGGATTTTACCTCAGAGTTTATAGACACAACAGGTCCCCTCCCCAAACCACACCCACCATTAACTATGGCCTACTGCAGCTGGTTACAGCTTGAGAGAAGAGATGAGCCCCGCATCATGCTTTGGAAGGCAACAGACTGTGGGACCAGATAACTGAGTCCAGAGCTGGGGGCCTCTCACTGGCAATGCCCAATGCCAAGGCATCTGGATCCAGCAACCACCAGCCAAAGCACCCCTCATGCTATGGGGTGAGGGCCATAAGACAAAAGGCAGTTTTGTTCTGTGGTTTCACATAAGTGCCCAGAAGCCTTCGGCCACGTGGTCAACCCAGAGAATGACCATCACATGAGTCAGGCAAGAAAGGGCCCTGGCTGATCAGCAGGGTCACTGGTCCTAGCAGCAGGTAGAGGATATAAATATACTGGGGCCTTAGCCCGAACTTCATTTTACGCTGCTGTTTTCCCCTCCCCCAGCATTTCGATAGCTTCCCACGTCTTGGTGGAGCAAAGAAGAGGAGGAGGAGGAAGAGAAGGAGATGGCAGAGGAGGAGGCTGAAGAGCTGGAAGTGGTAGAAGAGGACACAGAGGAAGAGAACGTAGTCTCCTACACCCCCCTTTCTCCTCAGACAGCCAGCACAGAGCCGGTCCAAGAGCTGAACAAAGCAGAGGAGAACTGGTTCTGGGGCTGGCTCTCGCCATTCTCCATCTTCTCCGGGTTGACCACGGTGGCAAACAGGTACCGGCACTGGGAATCTGGGAGCAGGCCGTGCTCTGAAGAGGGCGACCCACCTGGGGGAAAAGAGGGGAGTCGGCAGCAGTGCTGGTGTGCCTCACAACTACAGGAGGGGAGATGTTACTACAATGACATGACAGCTTGGGAGGTGTCCCTCCAAGTCCTCTAGTGAGGCCAGAGGATCACTCCAACCTGCCACCATTTTCTAAATTCCCTGGAGGCTGAAGTCCTCTGTTCCCAGCTCATGCACAGCACCAGTGGAAGCGTCCCGCACACTGGGCCATCAGTTGTAGCCAGGCTGCTCCAGAGGGACTGTTTGTATGACCTGCTCCATCCGCTGAGACGGATCATTATTAATGTCAGCTCTCTAAAATGATAGGGATGAACTAGAGCTGGGCAGAGAAACAATTTTTCAATTCAGTGGCTGAACCAAACCACTGGAAACCAGTTTGTTGTGGGGCAGCCCTGGGGATTTTTTAAAAAAAACTTGTTAAATATAAAATTGCAGTGAAATGTTTTTAAAAAGACATTTTGCATTAAAAAAATCTAACTGTTCTAACGCAAAAAAAGTCAAAATAAAATGTTTTGATTTGGGGGGAATTTTTTCCCCCTTTTTTCTTTTCTGTTTTTAACTGAAACAATTTGACAAATTTAACCCAAAGTCAGAATGTTTCAGTCGTCTCAAGTCTGCATTTTTTGACAGAGAAATTTTTGGCAGAAAAATGTTGTCGAACTGTGACTTTGGAATACCGTGGTGAGAGTTTTCGTGTTATGGACACTTACCCACTACAAGTGGGCCTGAGACTGGCGATAACTCGTTCCATTCAGACCATATCACAACCTTCACGTGGGTAATGACTTTCAATCACTGCTAACATGGACTGGATTGAAAATGGTGACCTAGAGATGAAACAGGCAACCTCCAGTTACTTCAGTACTGATCCCTACAGCCTGCCAGTGTTGTGTGTGTAACGGATATAAAGAGCAACACTATACTTTCAGCCTAAATTAGTTATATTAAAGGACACAACAAATCAAGAAAGAACAAAAGAAAAGTCTCCATATGAGAGCACCATCTGTGCATCTCCTCTGGAATCTGCTGCTTCATTTCTGCCTCCCAAAATGTCAGCAGAAAGAATCAGTGCTCAGAAAGCCAAGTTCGAGATGGATTCCAGACCAGCACTGGTGCGATCGCTGCCTGAATACTGTGTCCATTTCTGGTGTCCACAATTCAGGAAGGATGCTGATAAATTGGAGATGGTTCAGAGAAG